GTTGCACAGAGGTGGCGGTGCCCCATGCATGCAGACAGCCAGGGTGAGGCTGGATGGGCTCTGAGCACCTGATGGAGCAGTGGGGGTCCCTGTTCACTGCAGGGGGGTTGGAGCAGATGGTCTGTAAGTCTCATAGGACTTAATTCTGTGATACAGTGTGTGTGTAACATTGTTTTTGTACAACATCTTCCAGCCTGAGAAGTACCCATGTTCCAACAGACAGCAGTAATTATCAAGGGTTTAGCAAACATCATTTGCTCAAGTGTTTATCTACTAATGCTGTTAATTCTGTAGCCTGAAAGTGTGCTGCCTTCTGCCACTTCACATTTTCTGTTTTGTCTTTGGAGTTTTCTAGTTATTTTAACCTCAGCTTTGGTGTTGCTCACAGCTGGCCTAACAGAGCTGCCTTGTCTGCGTCAGCCCTGCTCTGATGGGATGTGCTGGACAGGGGATTCTCCTCAGTGTTGATTTTATTTGGAAAACAGAGGTTTGTGTTCATCTCTGCAAGTGTTCTTAAACAGAGCAGCAGGGAACTGGCCTGGTTGTAGTAAATAAGACTCCAGAAGAGATGTATTTATTTAATGGGAATGTCATCCTCCATGGTGGAAAACAGCAGGTCTCTGTTGAGCATATGAAACTTAGAAGGGGGGCTGCAAGTCAGGGCTTTTGTGCAGAAAACACAGCGCTGGTGTTGTTGCTGACACTGCCTGACTCAGACGTGCTGGAGCCCAGGGGTCGTTGTGCAGCTTGAAGAATTATGCTTTTAATTTTTGTGTCTTGTGGGGCCTCCCCATGGGTGGATCTGTGAACAGTGCAGTGGGAGTTGCAGATGCAAATATCAGGGGCCCAATTTTTCCAATTCTGCTGGGATTGGTAACCAGTATGAAGGACAACTCAGAGGCTGCAGCACTGTCTGACCTCCCCTCTTTGGAAGGAGTTAGGATATCAGAGAGATAATTTGCAAGGATAGAAATAATCTTTACATACTGATATGCTGAAAAGTGCCCAAGAGAGCTCTTGTTTCTTTAATGAATGAGTCAAGTCTTTGAGAGGGATATGTGAGGTCAGAGGTAAAAATAGTGCTACAGAAGATGCTGTCTTACTCCGATTTCCAAGTAATAAAATAGTGCTGTCGCTCCCACGTTACTGTGGTTGTTTTGTGGATGCCATATAAGTGTTCTGTGGCAGAACTGACTAATCCTGCAGTCCTTCTGTTGTGATCCAGATTAAATAAATGAAACCCAGAAGTGTAATTTGGATATTAATATTTTTCAGTGCGTTAAAGCCAATGTTCGGGGCATTGTCTGGTACATTTTCCTATTTAAGGGGAATTCATCAAAAAAAATTGAATATTTAAAAAGAATCCCTAAGCCGTGGCAGTTGCCTTCAGAATTAATTAAAGGCTACACACTTTTAGTGCAATCTGTCTGTAACAGCTGTGTTGTGCGCTAACAGCAAGCACAGGAAGCTGAATGCTTCAGTAAATCCATAAAGAGCTCAGTAGTGTAGGCTGTCATGAAACTATCAGATTTAAATGTAGGTTATCCTCCCTCTTCCTGTCCTCCCGTATCATGATGGGCTGCACCCAAGAGCGAGAAACAGAGGCAGCGATGCTTGTGCTTGAGAAATAATTGGGAAAATTGAATCAAAAGGCACTGCTGGCCTTTTTCCTCTCCATTTTCAGGTAGGATGGGAATGCTTCTAACCACCGGTAGCCACGCACTCGGGTTTGTTTCTAATGTATATGTTTGTTCACTGAGCGGTAAATGCGAGTTCATCCGCTAATGGCTGTGCAGCAAAGAACAAAGAGCGCTGTGTTGGGCCTTCACCCATCGCTCGGTGAGGAGGGCTGGCTCACAGAGCACACCTTATCACCCTTCCTGATGTTTGCATCTTCCCGAGCCATCAAGGCTGGATACTGGCTTTTTACCTGGAGACCTGTGGTAGGAATAGCTCTTACTAAAGCTACTTCTAGAGGGATATTGGCAAGTGAAATAATGGCTTCAGGACAGAGCTCTGACCGCAGCAGGATCTGCTTTTGGTTGTGGTCTGCTGGAACGTAGGGTGAGTTGGCTTTCCATCTCTCCTCCAGGACAGGTGCTGAAGTGTGTAAAATGCTTCCTGTGGAATGCTGGCGATGGGTTCAGCTACAGATCAGAGCTTGGGAAGAGGCTGTATGCTGCAGTGGTGTCATGCACTGAACTTCAAATTCAGCTGCTGGTGGTATGGATGTTAGCTCTGCCCCAGCAGTTGTCAGTGATGATAAGTGGTGAGCAGAAGTCTTGTAACTCATAGGCATGACCTGTAGCCAGGAAACCAGCATTTCAGAATTCATGAATTCCAAAGACACATACTGGATGTACTGTATAATTGCTGGCTGGCATAGGAAGGTTGCTTTAGCTAGAAAGAAGATTACAGATTCTTGTAAGTGGTGCAGTGTGATGTCTTTGATCTGGAGGCAGCTGAGAATCACAAGACTCTCTTCTCCATGTTGGTGTGGCTCTGTTGCAATGTAGTCAAGCTCCTGCTGGTGGATGGCCATCAGTGTATTGTTTTGTTTCCAGGCATATAAAGCTTTGAAACTGAGGCAGAGATGTGCAGCCATCGTGACAGCTGCATGATGGCTGTGCAGGGGGTACCAAGCAGTCATGTGGTTCAGGAGTTCCTTGAATAAAGTATTCTCCAATAAAAACAGCGAAAGGGCATAAAAACAATTCGTGTTGCATCTTGGGTGAAATGTTAATGTGAACTGGAGGTGATCCAGTTAAGTTAGAGATCTGTCCTTCAGTCTGTATATCTGCTGGCTGAGCTTGCAGAGATCCCTCATCACTTCACAGATACAATCTCTGCTGTAATGAGGACCTCTGTCAAGCCCCAGGACTCTCTCAGCACCCTGGCAAGAGACTGCATGGCTGGCTGTGAGTGAAGCAGAGTGCATCAGCTGCACTGAAGCAGAAAGCACTAAGCATTCATTATTGGCGTGAACTGAAGCTCCAGTGTGCACGTAGGCTAAATGTCCTGTTGGTGTGGTGTGAGTTGGTGGCTGTGTGCTTGGGGAAATTGCCAGCCTGGTGCCAGAATTCCCACGTGTGGGTATTTCCTGACAGCACTGCCTGCTTACCTACAATAACCGTGTGAAGTGGAGCCTATCCAGAGCTTCACAAAGCCTATATTTAATAACGTATTGTGTTTATAATACCTTCCATCCGCTGGATTTCCCAAATAGACTAATCCTCTCAGCTGGTCTTTTGGTAGAGCAAAGATGCCTGTTTAACTGACAAAGGAGCTGGAAAGCAGATTTTCGTGGTGTTTTTTTTTCCTGCAAAAGCAGTGAAACAAGATGGAACCAGAGTCTTACAGCTACTGTTTTCACCATTGTTGTTGTGTTTTCTGCATGCCATGTGCTGGAAGTTGTACAGAACTAGTGAAAGGCAGTTTGTATGGTGAGCAGTTTGTGACCTAAATCGGATAAGTCACCAAGTCCTGCTGTATGTGCTTGAAGTGCTGCAGATCTTTTACACCTCTGTGCTTTTAAGCACTTCTAACTCAGAACTTGGAGCTTACCCTGAAGATCCCCAAGGGCTGAGGCTGTAGGAGGGAAGGGATGAGTTTTCTTAGCTTTAACTCTAGAATTAACATCACTCCTGAAGAGCTGAGTTGCCAAAATGAGCACGGCAGCCTATGGGGCAGTTCTGGAGGAGGCTGTGCACGCCTTGGCTCTGCACCCTGCAGCCCAGCTTTGTGTAGCTTTGATGCCTTGTCTTGGAGAGGGAGGTGGGGGCAGGGAGTAGATTCAGAGCTATATCACAGCCTGCTTCAAATCCTACTTCTTGTAGGTTCTGAGTATTTGATGCTGTTGTCCTTTCTTTGTGCCCAATTGGTAATCTTCACGTTGCAGGTACTTATTACTGCATTCTCTCCTTGCCATGGAGAACAGTTGTTCCCAGCTGTGATGTAGCTTGGGTGGGTTGTGGTGGGTGTTTAGAGGGATTGAATCAAGGGTACTCTGAAGAGAAACACTTCCCCAGGTCTGTGCAGTGCCCACATTGCATGGGTGACTGGGAGCTGCTGCAGGTGCTGCTCTGGAGGCCTCATCCTGGCACTGGGACAGAGCAGGCCTGCTTGTGTGGGCCGTGCTCAACAACGGCATGGGAAGGTCCCTTATGAAACATTGATGATACAGTGATAGACCCAAAGGAGGCTGTTGATGGCCATGTGATGGAAAGAAAGAGGAAGGATTGTGGCGATTTTTTTGAAATACAAACTTCACTTTATGTCAAATACAGAACAAAAGGGTTGTTAAGTTTCCTCTGAGTTGGATCCTAGCTACAGCTTATTTAAACAATGGTCCTGCAGGTTTTGTTTGTCTTGGATGGTGGTTTGTTTTACTGCGGTGTTGCTCATTAGCAACGTATGTGATGTACTGGATGTTGTTGGAATGTGGTCCTGTCCTGGAGAGCTTCCAACATAGCATCATTGGAAAGAGTTGTTCAGGAGTCTGGTTAAACGAGTCTCCTGCTTTCTGGTATTACAAGAATAGTGATTTAAGTTCAGTATTTGAAATGTATTTTGTTGCAGCGTAGGTAGGATCTTCCTCTCTGGGTTACATCCCTGAACTGATGACAGCTTTGTACTGCCCACTCAGTACGTTCAGCATCAGTCCTGGGCTTTTGAAGGGAACTCTCCCAGTACACCCCAGCAGGCTCTGGGAGAGACTTGTAGAGCATTATTCACAGTAATCCAGCTTCTCCTGAAGATGCTGTGCCTCTCATCTTGATGATCAAATAGATTCTATCATACGGTGTCTTTCTGGATTTTGTTTGTTTGCAAGTTCTTTTCTTCTCCACAAACACCCCATGTTGACTGTGTGTCTAGTTCCCTTCTGGTTATCCCTGTCCTCTTTGCCCACCTTTCCTAAGAGTGTTGTTGGAGGATTGTGATGTGTATTAATCTTCATTTCTGGCTTCAGGGTGGTGATAACACCTTTTCCTCTCTTGCAGAGTGTTTACCATGCCTCTGGGAACGTTCCTCCTTCCTGTTCTCTGTTTCTTGGGAGTGGCAATTCCAAGGGGACTGCAGTATGTCACGTTCTCACGCAACGCTACAAAATTCCTCCATCTGTCCATGGACTTAGAATCAGGGACCATTTACCTGGGGGCTACCAACTTTCTCTTTCAGCTGACATCCGACCTGCTGATGGAGAACATGGTTCAAACTGGACCAGTTTTGGACAGCAAAGATTGTCTGCCCCCAGTCTCAAAGCTGGAGTGCCCTCAAGCACACCATACTGACAATCACAACAAGCTGCTTCTGGTGAACTCAGTGCAGAAGGAGCTGATTGTGTGTGGCAGCGTGCACCAGGGCATCTGTGAGAAGAGGAGCCTCACCTCCATTGACCATGTTCTCTTCCGACCAGAGAGCCCCGGTGACACTCAGTATGTTGCTGCCAATGACCCCAATATCACCACCGTGGGACTCGTAGCCTACTCGAAGGACGAGGTCCCCTTGCTGTTTGTGGGACGGGGATACACTAGCCGAGGAGTTGGAGGAGGGATTCCTCCCATTACAACCCGAAATCTCAGGGCCCACGGCAGCGATGTTCAAGCAACGGACTCTCACTCTATTTTCTCCTACGAAGAAACAGCCAAGCTGGCAGTGGGGCGGCTCTCTGAGTACAACCACCACTTCATTAAGTCCTTCACTTACCGCTCGAGTGTCTATTTCCTCTTCTACCGCCGAGACCTCAAGTCTCAGTCACGCGAGTACAAGACCTACATCTCGCGAATCTGCTTGGATGACTCTCATTATTACTCGTACGTGGAGTTACCTCTGCTCTGCCAGAGCAAAACCAATACTTACAGCCTCCTGCAAGCGGCCTACGTCACCCAGCCGGGGAAGGACCTGGCCCAGGGGCAGCTGGACACTGATGGGGAGGTGCTGTTTGCAACCTTCTCTGCCTGGCAGGCTTCTTCAGGCAAACTGAGCGAGGAGTCTGCGCTCTGCATCTATGCCATGGAGGAGGTGGACCGCTTGACCAACTGGACGAGGGATGTGTGCTACATGAGAGATGGGAAGTCAGAAGACGGGACGGAAGTGGCGTACATTGAGTATGATGTCAGCTCCAACTGTGTCCAGCTGCCAGCGGTAAGTGGCTTTGCACCTTTGCCAGGGTAAAGAGAAATGTGCAGTACACTCTTGTTTTGCTTTGTGCTCCTGGAGTGAGCCTGTTTCCCACAGCTGTGTGATGAAATCTGCTTGGGCTAAAAGCCTCTGGGCTCACTGTTTCGTTGCTACCGCAGCAAGGCAATGCTCTTGCATTCCAGCTCAGGTCTGCCTTGTTCCCGCTGCAGTGCTCTGCTTCGCGTAGACAGGTTTGTGCAGTGTGTGGCAATGGGAAAGGCATCTGGTGTGACCTGGACCTGGTGCTTGTTTCGTGGCATTACCAGGCAAGCGCACTGAAGCTGCAGTTCAGGTTGCTCTTAATATCTTCACATCCTCATCTAAAGGGGTGTGCTGGGTCCTTGTTGCTTAGGTTGAGGTGTGTCTCACAACAGCTTCCAAGAAAGGGCACCCAGCAACCAAAAAAAATCGAATGCAAGAGTTAGCAAAATCCTGTCCTACTGAAGACTGCATTAGTCCTGCAGAATTTTGTACACCAGGAAGACTTTTTCCTGACCTGGCTCTTCTCCAGAGCAATAAGGAGTGAGCACACAAAACTTGAATTCTGTGGCAAAGGTATGATGGGATATTGCAGGATATAAATGTAAAGTGGAAGTTGGCTGTGACCCTGAATCCCTTTCAGTTTGTCAGCCATGCTGGCTGGTGCTGTGATAGCAGGGACAGTGACACAAACATAGAGCAGCAGTGTTCTCCTGGGGCAGGATGCAGCGTCCTGGCATGAGGTTCCATGGCTGTGAGTAACCTGTTTTCACCGAGGGCGTTGCTGGTCCATAACAGAGCACTGTGCTGTCTTGTCCTTCTGCAGAACGGTAACTTAAGGTAACTACCTCTTCCCAACCTCCTGCACACAGAGCTTTGGGAATATCTGCAATTGGATGTGTGGTCCAAAGCCAGTTTTGAAATTATAGTTTGTGTTTTGGCAGCTGAGGCAGACTGTAGAATAGCTATGGGACAACCAAGGGGTAAAGAGCAGGCTGGGAGCAGGACAAACGTAAGGTCAGGAAGAATACACTGACTGGGCTGTGATGTCCTGCTTTCACTGACCCTTAGCTCTGTCCTGCACGTCCCCTGCAGGCCAGCATGGAAGGGATCATCATGAGTTCAGAGCAGTTTGGGGGATTTCCAGTCAGCCTGGTATGAGCAGCTTTTCTAAGCAGCACGGAGAGTCCCCTTGTCCTGTTTAGTGCAGCGGTGAAGTGGGTGCACAGGGTGGGAGCAGAAGCCAGGCTGTGCTGTGTGATTCCTGGCACGTGATCCCAGGCCCCAGCTGCGTGCTTTGGCACTGGTGGGCTGGCTGAACTGTAGCATCTTATTAACAAGTGTGTCCAATGCTATGTGAGCGTCCTAACAAACTTTATCCCTCACCATTCAGCCTGTGGTAGCGGTTGTCGTTAAGATTGCATCTAACAACACGCGGGGGGCTGTGCCAGCTCCAGCCTGCTCCATTCAGCACTAAGTGGAAGCGGCTGTCAATGAGCATTTTATGCATTTTATCAGTTTCAATGGTGGCAGCTTGTGCTTTATATGGGAATAATGCTAATTAATTTCACGTTTTTCTGCCTCCAAACCAGCACAAGGTATGCTCTTTTCCTCAGCGTTGTCTCCTTGTTTTCAGAGCAGAGGGGGAGGCTAGCATTGAGCTGTACAGCTCAGTGCCATCTCTTCAGCTGGAACAAACACTTGGTTTTTTATAAAGACTTCAGAACTAGCTCTGGTTTGCTGGAGATCTGAAAGTGTATCCACTTTCCTATTTGTCTCCAGATGCAGGAGATGGTAGATGCTGTCGGTGCCTTGATAATTGGACTTGTGAAGCAGGTTCCTGTGAGGCTGCATGTCTTCCCAGGGTGTAGTTTTCAAGATACGCAGCTTTTCTTTTTACATCAAGCTTTCCATCCTTATCATGAATCAGTACAGGTTTGCCCCGTTGTTGCTTCTCATGTGTGAAAGGTAGGAAGCAAACACCAGAATTCAGCTTTGGTCTGGGCATTCCAAACTTGCTCTGTGGCAGTACGATGCTGGGTGATTCCAGTGGAGTATTTGCTACTGCGTTGCCAAGATGCTATTCACCAAAAACAATCCACACAGCTTCTATGTAAGTTTACAAAGTGCTTATATACAATTATCATGGTCTTAATCCCATGGCACAGAACGTGTTTCAGCTCTTGTCTGTGATTAACTTGCACTGCTGACAGTCCCAGGGAGGCGATGGGCAGGCTGTGCCAGCGCTGGGAGAGCTCACACGGTCACGTTGTTCTGTAGCAGCCGACCCTCAGTGTGCAGTGAATTCCAGCATCACGTGTGGGCAGCAGCAGCGCTGGGCACAGATGGGATATACAACCATTTCTGTCTTGTATCCATTTTATTAAAGCAAACTTTGAAAAATCAGCCTCTAGTAATGACATATTTTTGGTTCCAGCGTTTGTCTAAATTGATATAAAGCTTGCAAAAAATATCTAGAATCCCATTCTAAACAAAGGCTTCATGCCTTTGAGTGTGGACATCTGGCAATGGCTCACTTCCTATTAAATCTTACAGGAACTGGGGCTGTATAAATCCAGCCTTGCTGCCTGGAGCAAGGGGAACTGGGTTGGTGGGAGCTGCCCAGTAATACCTCAGTGAAAATATAGAGCTATGGAGGAAGAGGAAGATATTATCCATGGTGATCCCATGGTGAAAATCAGCTTTTATACACTAGCATTGTTTGAAGACAAGCCTCTAATTGATTAAAAATGGTAGGTTTAATAGTATCAAAGGATACTCTGATGTTAAACTAGGCACCAAGCGAGGTGTCAAGAAGCAACAGAGAAACTGTCCTACACAGATTGTGCCGTTATTTAGGGAAAAAAATGAAGCATCTCCTTTCTACACGTACGAATAGCAAATAAGTTGGCAGCTTTTATTCTTGCCTTTAGAATTCAGCAAGTGACGCTTTGGTGGGTACTGGGAGGGATCTGGCTGGAACAGAGGGATGACTGTTTTTGCACAGTGCTGTGGAGCTAATTTTCAGAAGTCTGACAGAGCTAGGAAGAATTGCAGCAGTGTGCAGAAAGGATTTGTTTGTATTTTGTGGGTCTCCGGCTGCACGCACTGCACAGGTTTTGTGTGTAGCTCTTTGGAGCAGGCTGTGTTCCACCCTGTGTTCTTGTCTGTCCTGGTTCTGGGGGCTCCACCTCAGACCTGGAATTTGTGAGTGATACAACAGAACTGTGCTAACTGTTGGACGTAATGCTGGTGACGTGGGCAGCTGATTCCATTTTGCACCAGAAGCTGGCATTTTCATCTTGGTTGTTGGTTGTTGTTTTCTGAAAAATGCATCAAGTCTTCCCCAAAGCTGTGCCGTGGCAGTGTTCAGCAGGACCGCTTTTTGGAGTTGGCTCTTAAGCAGAATTTAGGTGCATTTCATTAGCAATACATCTGTTACGCTGAATAAACTCAAGTGGAATATCTGCAGGATTCTGTTAGGCTACAAACTACCGATGTACCTTAACTAATTATTAGAAGCTGTTCGCTACTCTCATCAAAAAGCCTAGAGATGCACAACTAAATTCACCTCTGTGAGAGACAGAAGAGAGGATGGGAGGGGTGGAAGGCGATGATGTTCTTTGTATCCTTTCGGTTTGGGTACTGATTTCCCTGTCCTTTTCACTCCCCCAAAGGACACCCTGTATGCGTACCCCTGTGGCTCTGACCACACTCCCAGCCCCATGGCCAGCCGGGTCCCCTTGGAAGCAGCCCCTCTCCTGGAGACAACAGAGTCCCGACTGACAGCTGTGGCAGTGAATGTGGAAGATGGCCACACCATTGCTTTTCTAGGAGACAGCAGGGGGAGACTGCATAAGGTACGGTCTGGATGCAACAAAAAGGGTAAAGCTAATCAAGGATGCTCTGGTGGGGGGTGGCAGGAAAAGCAATGTCAATTCTTCTGTAATTCCTTGGGTAGGACAGATGTCTCCCACTCCTATTCTGATACTTTGCCTGTATACTGCTGTGACTGTCTTGCAGGTGTATTTAGGAGCAATGGGAGATGCACACATCTATGCTTCTTTAGCTATCCAGTTGAACAGCATGGTGAGTGGAGACCTGCTGTTTGACCAGTTGCAGGAGCACCTCTTCGTCATGACCCAGTCAATGGTAAGAGCAATTAAATCCCTTCCACAGAAGAGCTGACGGGATTTGAGTTCCAGACAAACTGCTGAAGGGAGTGGAGGAGTCTTGAGAAATGTGGCAGAGGTTTTACCCATTCTGGTAACATTCTGGTTTTAATCCATGGCACATATGTTTTCATAAGTTGGTCAGGCTGCCTTGTTTCAGCAGTGATCGTGTGATGAGTTTTACAGATAAAAGCAAGCTGTGTAAGGAACCATGCAAGGCACCTTTCCTCTTCTTCTTCAGCCTTCTCTAATTCCTTTTGTGTCCGGTGGCAGCAGGAGAAGCAGCACTGTGATTGCTGGGGCTGCTGGGTGGAAAATTGAGCTGTGGGTATTTTATTTGAGAGGATTTGCTGAATGCTCAGATCAGCTTCTTGAGCTAGAAAGAAAAGGATCCTCCTAGCAAAATGAAAGCAACCCCTGTGTTACTCTGTCTGAAAGAAAGGGCAAGCTGAAAATGAGAATGTGCTTGAAAACCACTGCTTCCCTTCATTCAAACCCTCATGTGCAGTTTGAGATACTCAAATTTTGTAATACTTCAAAGGAGGAGCTGAAATCTGTGAGTGGAAGATGATTAGGGGAAATCTGAAGTACATCCCTATGAGTAATTGTTCTGTCAATTAAAAAAAAATGCAAAATTCATGATATACTTAGCAAAAGTAATAGGTTGCGGATTAGAAGATGATAGTTTAAAGTGACTGACAGCACAGTAGCTGAAGTGTAGCAGCTGATTTAAAGAAAGGCGAAAGGCTGAAATCAGCAAGGATGGTCAGTTAAGGCAGGCACGTGCTGCAAGTCAAACTTACCCCAAATGCTGCAGGGTTGTGCTCCACTTTGCTGAGAGCCGACTGCTCTACTTTCACACCAAGTGGCAGCTCTGCCAGATAGAGCTGGGCAGTGGGGCAGGTGCTTTCAGAGCCCTCCGCTGGAGCTACCACATCCAGCTTCAGCATGGTGGGCTGTCAGTACACAGCCTCTGATGACACAGTCCAGAAAAGCAAAAGAGCAAATGGCACTGTTTGTTATTTATCACTAAATGAAGTGTTCTTGCAAGGAATGTCATGGATAATGTTTCAGCAGTGTGCTGTTTGCCTCAGTGTCTCTGCAGAGCTTGAAGTTAGTGTCCTTCCTTAGTATGTAAAATAGGCATCAGGCAGGCTTTGGGAATGTCTTCCTTTTTCTTCAGTTCTGTGCAGTACTAGGAATTAGCCTGAAATTTCAGTGGCATGCTGATAGCGGGACCTAACTAGCTAGGCAGAAGTAGCTGTAGTTCTGGGGCCTGCTTTGTGTGTGCTCTGATTTCAAAGATCTCTTTTCCTGACAGGTGCTAAAAGTTCCCATACTGGAGTGTTCCCTGCACTCAGACTGCGAGTCCTGTCTGGCGCTGGAGGATCCTTACTGTGGCTGGTGTGTCCTTCAGGGACGGTAAGATGAATCCTGCTTGGGTTTTGGAGGAATAATGCTTGGGAATTGTCCCCATTTACTCTCTTCCAGTGTCAGTGTCTCCATATATATGTCTAGTGTCTGGGTTTATTTTTAGCTCCTTTCTGGGATACATTTGGCCTACAAATTCATTCTGATTTACCGTTCTTCTGTCTGCACTTCTAAAGTACCTCTATAAGTCACAGTTGCACAGTATTGTCTTTCAGTTGCTTTCTGGATCTTTGGTCACTCACAGTGTTCCTGTCCAGAGGACTTCAGCCAGGTTTTAGGCTGACTGCAGCTCAAACTGCCCCTCTACAAATTTCTTCACTTCTTCTGGTGTCTCTGTTGTACTTGGTGCTTTTTTACTTCTTGCTCCCCTTCTGATATTGCTTCACAAGAAATGGTTTGTCCCAGCATGTCTATCTGCTTGCTGGCTGTGTCCATGTGAAATGCCCTGGGACCTGGTTTATGGCCCTTGAAGCCGTAACTGGCAGCTGGTTACGGCTCATCCTTTGCTATGGATGGTGGTGAGAGGATGGGACTTCATGGCTCGTTTAGCAGCTTCTCTGAGAATCTAGCAGGGGTTTCAGACAGCCAGCATGGGTTTGGGGGTTGGATGTGTGCCCTGCTAGGGCTGTGCAGATCTCTGCTAGGGCTTTCTGCTGTTTCTCTGCAGGTGCAGCCGTCGCTCGGAGTGCTTGAGGTCTGGATTGAGTGAGCAGTGGCTCTGGAGCTTCAACTCTACACAGCAGTGTCTCTCTGTCCAGTCACTAACTCCAGCCAATATCAGCCGAGAGGAAAAGAGAAATGTGAGCAATGATGATTCTCTCTGATAATCTTCAAGCACATAGAAAGAGTCCCCTGCAAAATTGTAAGGGCCCACAAGTCTTTCTGGTGCTTTCAAGCATGTCTGCCTCACATGAGGAATTTAAGTTGGCAGTCCCAGGAAATATAATTGTTTTTCCTATAAATCTGAATGTCCTTGTCTCTTAAAAGAAAGTTACTAGGTATTCTGGAGTATTTGATGGCTGCTTGGGTGAGGATCTTCCTTGGCTTGATATCTGTTACGTGCTTCTGTCTGTGAGTTCAGAGTGTTTCTGACTCTTCTGATATTCTCTAGGAAGATCTAAAAGGAGCTACCTAAATATAAGGCTTCAATCTGGCACCAGAGACCTGGCAGAAAAGTTGATGTATGGCAGTGTTTTAAAGTCTGTTAGGGCATGACTAGAATCTGTCCTCTGCTAAAGACTTGAGCAAAGGGGGGAAATTGCCCTTTCCTTGGTGGGTGCCAAGTTCAGTGGGCGAATGGCAGGAGATGATGGGTGAAGCAGCCAGCCCGAAAAGATAGAAAAATGGATGTGTGTGTAGATAACTGCCTTATGGGGCTCTTGCTTTGAAAAAGTAGAACCAGAATATTAGATGAACTAGAAGAATGTTTTGGAGAACGGAGTATTTACTGTATGCTATTGAATTGGCAGATATTCCTGGCTATCTCAGACTTACCTTCTCTGCATGAGGAAGAATTTTACTCATGTTACTTTCAAGATTATGAAAGCTCAGCAGTTCTGACAGAGTCAGGAATCATGTGTCCTTCACCAGATCCCAACCAAACACCAGCCTTGCCAGCAGGAGCAGGTCAGTGAAATGCTTTAAATGGGGCATGATAAGCTCAGATAGCATTGTCAAGAGAAAGTACATTTTGGGTCCGAGTGCCAGGATTCGCAGCGATGGATGTGCATGGTCTGTCAGCAGGTGTTCATTTCATTCTGTCATAATGTCTGTTTGCTTGCTACTTGTGTGTCACGCACATCCTGTGCTATTCTGGGCTGTTGCCAGATTCCAGTGCCAAATTCTGGTGGTTGGAAAGGAGCTCCCCTTTGAAGGGTTTTGTGACAATCTGAATATGATCTGAAATGCAGTCTGGAGTGGTAGCTGGTTTGGCAGCATTTGTCATAAATCTGGAGAGAGCTGACTTAAACGCTGCTGCTTTTTCTTTCTTTTTCTTAGCAAGCAAAGTTTGATTATAAATAAATAAAAAATAAAATAATAAAAAAAAAAAAGTAAACCTTTTCAAAATCCACACATGAATGGAAGAAGAAAATACCTGTAAGAAAAGTGAAGAAGGGACCTACAGCCATTAAAAAAAGATTAGAAATGAATCTGCAATGCAGCAAAACCTCAGAAAATACAGTCAGGCTGTTACTATAAACAGCAATGTCTAAGTATTGCTAATTGGCCACTCCAAAGCACCTAGAAGGCTCTCTGCCTGTGGCCTGTGTATTGGATGTTCCCCAGCCTGTTGGTGTGAGCTCTGATGAGCTGCTCTCTTCAGAGAACTTGTTCAGCTGAAGTAAATAAAGCAGGTGCTGGCTGGGAAGCAGTCCACACAAATCACCTAACTGTCATGTACCTGCACAGCTGTCTGGTAGGTCTGAAACCGTCTCCGTGGTCGTAACATGACAGCAGAACCAAGCCAGCTCTGTTGTTCAGACACCTTGATTTTTTGGTACTTGTCTGCTGGCTTTCATGCTGCGTGGAATAAACCAACCAGGTGTCCTTTTGAGTCAGGCACAGAGAGAGGCTTTGTGCCCTGTTACTGCAGGCAAACTGAACGGGATTGGTTTTGCCATTTAGATAGCAAACATTGACCTGAATTTAAACTGTGAAGGTCATAAAGGTAAATCCACAGTCTAGTTTTCACTATTCTACACTTCAGATCCTTTTAGCAGCTCCTTTATAAGCCAATCTTGCTTTTACTTCAACAATTAAGTGTTTTACCTACATTATTTTCATCTTGCTTCTTTGAAGCAGCCTGCTTCTATTTTCTAACCTGAGCTTATCCGACAAGAACCATCCAGGAATCTTATCTGTGTTGTCCTTCTGCTTCTGTAGGAGCTCTTTCAGTCAGTGAACTATGGCCAAGTGCTCCTAGAAGGGTTTTGCTGTGTTAACTGTGCCAACCTTCTCTTCGTATTTGTTGTTACTTAGGTTTTCTCTCTTCTTCACTGTATTTGCAGCCCTTCTTTGTGCTATTTTTATACTCTGCTAAGAGTAATTTGAAGTTGGTAATCAGAACTATACAATTTTCTAAATGAGATGTCATTAGAGCCTCGTACACTGGTATTTTCCTATTCTTACTAAAAAGCTTTTCCCAGCTTGCTAAAATATTTTCCTCTTTTCAGCTTTACTGTAGAGGTTGCATACGGCTCATCTGTGACTGCTGACGAGTTACATGTAGGTAGCAAGATCTCTTAATTTGCAAGTGCTCAACCTTGTCTTCTCTGCTGTTGAACAGCACCATTGGCAGTCATGGAAAATAATTGGAGAAAAGAATATTAATAAATACAGCATCAGTCCTGAAATCCTGAGAGGTGTTGGCCCTTCCAGCACTGCCAGATGCAGTCACCTCTGTAACAGCGATAGGAGCTGGCAGCACTGCGGTGACTCCTGCCTTCAGCAGCATGTGATACCATATTTTTTCTTACTGCTGGTTTTTTGTGACACCTCATCGCCTGTTTTACTGGTGTCGTGTCTCTCTTGTCACCCTGTTAGGAATCCAGTTCAAGCCTGAGGGATCCTCTGTCAGACAGGACAGCTACTTCGTTGTCTTCCAGACTTTTGCAAATGAATGTATTTTTATATGCAAAAACAAGTCTGAATTCTCTTAGAGGAAGGATAGGCAACCTTCTTGTTACTTATTTTTGTAACAAATTATCTTGGACAAATGGCAGCTCCTGGAGTTGGGCAGAGCATGCAATATGTTTCCATTAGTTAGAAATCTAATGTTCAGTTCTAAGGTTGAGGGCATTTGTTTGAAATAAGGTTAATTGGCATTTTTGTAACTGCCATATGCAAAACATCTCCCTCAGGTTCATGCTCTCAGAGATAGTTAGCTATGACCATTCCTGCAGTTATTTGATCTATTACAAAGCAATGATAATTCTTTTCCCGAAGAGAAAAGCTGTCCTGAAGCTTGTAGTTAACATGAGACATAGGTTTAAAACAGATGAGTCTTTGGTCATTGCAGGTGAGTTTACAGGTCTTGTGAACTCCTTCACTGACTCACCTCTCAGTCTGGCCATAAAAACAAAGATCTCGAGGTGATAACTGCATGTGAAGCACATGTTGGTTCCAAGGGTTGGGTTTTCCTTTGGATCACAAATGACGACAATCATCTTTGAGCCTGGAATGTCACCTCTTCACGTCACACAGAGGTGACAGTGGAGGTACAGCAAATCTAGAGCGATCTTCAGTCATCTTCCTTCCCCTGGGCTGGCAAGAGCTGTCATAAACAACCCCAATAAACTTGTCCAACCTGTTCTTAGTGTCCATAGGATAATCTAGTGATGGAGATGCTAGCAGCATGGAAGGGAATCTGTCTCCAGGTTTGACAAGTGTCTTCTGTAGAGCATGCTGTGTCTTTTAACAGTGGCACTCTGAGTGGCACCACTTCTAAGAAATTTTTATTTTCACTTTCAGATCATGTCACCATAAAGCTTGTAGTGCGTTTCCATGACATCTTCATTGCTTCTGTGGACTTCTCTTTCTATGATTGTGCTGCAGTGGCCCTGCTATGGAAATCAGCACCGTGAGCACCTGCTTTTTCTTGTCTGTGGTTCTAGGGAGGGTGGCTGCCCTGGATCAGCATAGAAACTACTTTTCTATCACTGTTCCAGGTGCCAGAAGTGTGTGAGCAGTCCCTGGGGATGCAACTGGTGCGTCCAGCAGCACCTCTGCACCCACAAAGCAGCCTGTGAAGAAGGAACCATTATCTACAATGAAAGGGTGCGTCTCCTACTCAGTCCTTCAGTGGTGAAGCTTCCTCTTCTGCACATAGCTGTGGGGACTGTATGGAGTGGTTTTGTGCTTGGGTTTTATTCTGTGTTATTACTTTTCTCTTACCCTGCCATATTGTTTTTCTTTAGGCCCAGATCCCAACTTCAAGTGTGTTCCCTTCTTCAGCAGCTCCCCTCACTAAGTCCTCTACCGTAGCCCCAACGGTGGCCGTAAAACCCATCACTCCCCCTGTGCATGCAGTATCAAGCACTGTGCCCCCCACAGAGCCCAACCACATCACATTCTCTGCTGCCTCCAATTCAATGACTGAGTCTACAGAAATCATTAGCAACCCGTACTCAACACTTTCAGCTGAAGCAGCATCTCTCCAGGCCATCACAGAACATCCCCTGCCACCACCAGCAGACAAACCTGCTGTCACTCTGCCAGGCACAGCTTCTCCTGCTGCATCTATTTTCACCAGCCCAGGCAAAAATGTGGATCATGCAGCCTTGCCAACCATAGGGCCCTCCACTGCCCAGGAGCCGTGGCACACTGAGCCACCTACCACTGTAGCAGCTTCTCCTCTGTTCACATCTTCTCCAGCAGTGACACCTTCCCCTCATGTCACCAGTTTCAGGTGGCCTCTGAGTTCTTTTCCTACCACGGAGGCCCTGACATCTGCCATCCCATCTCCCCAAACCCCTGGCCAGATGCTAGAGGACCCTTCTGCCTCTAATGACTCTCCTGCCATGCTGGGAACTGAAATACCTGCATCAGATCCTCCACCATCAGCTCCCCAAGATTCGCTGCTGGGGGAGGACACGGAGCTCCAGGACACAGAGGATTGGATGGATTTGCTGCAGGCTGAAAACGACACATCTCCCTTCTCTGCTTCTACTCTTTTATCGGGTGATGGTGATTCTTCAGAGAGGGATGTCCCTGACTTACCCAGGATCCTCCACCCTGACCTTGACTATCAGTATGATGCCCCTGGATTCTGGGAGGTAAGCTGCAGAATCTGCTTTTACAGTTTAAGCTGTACTTATTGGAAAGTTTGATGGGATTTGCTGGTCTGATGTTTCAGCATGTAGAAGTTGTGCTTTCTGAGAAAGTAGGTGACCACTGTAATGTGTGGGATGAGAAGTGGCAATCTGAAGTTCCCAGGCCTTGTAGAAATGCTGCTGATCTGAAGGTGGCAGCTGCTGTGATGTCCAGGATATTCACAGCTTTCTGCTGTTCACTACTTCAGGCTTGTGCATCGCTTTCTTGTAACTCCCACAGATGTTTCTTTGTCCAGACAGGCTTTGCTTCTCTGTTGGCCTATTGTTTCTTTGATTTCCTGTATGAGAGGTGTGGAAATCTCGTTCTCTAAAGATGCTGTGTTTATTTCCAGAATGAAGAGCTTAGTTGGGGTCCTGGTGCATGTCCCTGTGTGCAAGGAATCCAGGGATCTTCACTGTTTCCAGTCAATGTGGCGAGGAAGATAACCCTGCTTGGAAAGAACTTCCACCTTTACCAGGTAGTTAGCTGCTATTTCACATTAGCATTGAGAAACCATACCAGTGCAGAGCACTGTTTGGGCAACCAATCCACTGGACTGCTAAAAATAATTGTCTAAGAAAGCTGTGGCTCTGCTGAGGTTTTTCCTGTGTTCTAGCAAAAAAACAGCTAGAGGAGTGCCTGACTACTGTGAATAAGCAATTTTGTACTTGGGTTTCTTCCCGGGTAGGAGGGCAAGCAGAAAAAGGGAAACCACAGGTGTGCACCAACCTGCTGGGGGTCTGAAAGTATTTGCATTAAGTTGCACCTGTGCTGCAGTGCAGATGGCAGTTCTTGGAATAACTTTCTGCTGAATCTCTGCTAGCTGTTTCTGTCTCCATACACAAAATACAGATCATCTGTTCTCCTTCCTTTCTGGACTGGTAATGCTGATGTGGCTATTCCTGTTGTACCTGAAGCTTCCATGGTGGGGAAAACCGGCCCTGGAAAGCTTCATTCCCAGGGTGTGCCTCTGATTAAGGGGAAAAAAAAAGTTTGCTTCTTAAGATGGAATACGGCTTTGGCAACCCTTTACAAACATCTACTTCAGAACACAGCCCACAGACTAATTGTTGGTTTGTATGTTAAACTTGACTTCACTCAGAGGAGCTGAGCTAGTTACAGATACTTATCCTCCTTTTTTTTGACAAGGCATGCATAAGCAATTTGAGGAAAGGCTTATGGGAGAGAGAAGAATACACTTAGTATTTCCAAGATGCACTAATCTTTGTGCTCTGCCTTTGTTTCCAGGACCAGCAGTGGGACTATGAGTGTGTCCTGAATTTGGAAGGGAAGATGATGATGATGGATGCTTATGTGGAAGGGGATGAAGCAAACCAGTCCCTGTGTTACATCACCTGCCAGCTGAACCAGGTGAGGGACTTGTGATGGCATTTCACACTGGTACTAACTTTATTCACCTTGTTCATCCAACTGGCTGGGAGGTGAGGTTTCTGAGGAGAAAAGCACGTTTTGCTAAAATATTTGTGGAGTGTTTAACGCCGTAGAGATCTTGTCTGGGGTGCTGCGTCCTGGTGGCACCGGCATTTCAGGCTGCAGAAGGATTGTGTGGTCTGAGCCACGAGATCTGTTGCTGTGTTTGACGTGGCACAAAACGGTGCTGTGTCAGTCGCTGCTCATTGCAACCTGCTGCTTCTGCTATAGCTGGAACTGCTGCTTAGCACAGTTTGCAGATCATGACTGCTGTGGCAATGGTTCTTTTGTGTGGGTTTGATGTAGGGCAAGGTTTACAGGCAGAGGTGATGTTCTTACTTTGCAACCTTGCATAGTCAAAAGAAAAGGAACAACATTAGCTTTTGAGCACACAGGCCCTGCAGACCAATCACAATCCTACATCCCAAAATTGCAGAAGTGCCAGCTTGAACAATTTCCCGAGCCGGTGGCTTGTAATTAGAAATCAGACATTTAGGGATGCAGTTAGGAAGTTAGACAAGTATTGCCATGAGCACACGCTTGTTTGCAGTGTTCTCCATGGTGAACCAACGTCTGTTTCTCTTTTTAGAGCTAAGTGGTGACTGAGTGAGCCAGTAAGGACAAGCCCATGCTGCCATCGCCCGAGCTAATGCTCCTTTGGCTGCATTCATAGAAGCTCCTTATAGGCTGTGCATGATGAATGCTACTTTTTTTGTTTTTTCCAACCTGTTCAGCTAGTGTGTTTGTGCCTCCATGAGGTCCTTTACCTTGATGGTTTCTGTCTTTGCAGTACAGCTACACAGCACCTCAACTGGAATTCAATGCTGTGGTGTTTGTGCAGAGGCGGCAGCAGCTTCGAGTGGACAGTGCTGCAGATCTTCACGGTAGGAATGCAACACTTCTCCAAGGGACAGCATAAGGAATGGAAGGGGAATCGAGAAATCCTCAGCTTTTTTATGTGTAGATATTTGGAATCTGTAGTGATCCCATCTCAGGGCAACTGAAGAAAACATACAGCCTGATTTTCATCAGTTTTCACAGAGCAGAGAGGTGGAGGGGGTGCTGTGTAGGACACCAAATTGCTGAGTTATTCTATGCCTCAGGGGCTGTTTTCACATGCTTCTGGATGTTTCTCTTCCAGTGACTTTCTACAACTGCTCCGTGGGACACACTGACTGTAGCCGCTGCCAAACAGCCGACTCAAAGTACAACTGTGTGTGGTGTGGTGGTGACAAGCCCAGCTGTATCTTCAGGGGCTCCTGCAAGGAAGAGATAGAAGACTTGTGTCCAGCACCTCTCATTCACTCTGTGAGTAACCACCTACTCACTAGTATGTGGCATTCTCCAGTTGAAACCGGAGGTCTGTGAGCTCAGAGTGCAAACAGTGTAGTTCAGTTGTATGTTGGCACATTGGAGAGTACGTTGATCCTATTCCACTGTAATTCCTCGGTGATGTGAGGATGCTAGACTTGTGCTGAGCTTTTGTTGTACTGAGAGAGAACATTGGGGAATGATGTATTTGTATCTCATGTGAGCTGAAACTGATGTTCCAAAAGAAGCATAACCATTTAAAAGCTCGGAAAGGATCTGCAGATTGGATCCTCCAACTGTTCTGAGCCAGACTCTGAAACAGGTTGGCCCAACTGAGCCTGGGGTAAAGGAGGGCAAACACTCATGATAGTGGCACAGTGAGGATGTGAAAGGTGAGACAGGTTACTGGGATTAATTATTTTTGTTTGTTTATTTTAAGTGTTTCTTGCTAACTACCACATGACAGGTGTCTGTAGCCATGTGTCCCTTTGCTTGTCAGCTTGTCCTCCCTCCAGTGGCACACAGTGTCCATGTGCTGCATCTTGTCTTAGTTCATCTTGGATGCTGCTCAGGGACAGAGCTTTGAAGTTTGTGCAGCATGTGATTCATTGTCTTACTGATGCTGAGGGTAATGAGGGGTAATGGTGCTTGCTGCTTCAATACAAGTAACACGTACCAGCTTGTGCATTCCCATTATTCAGTAGAGATGCTCTACAGAGTGGTCAGCATGTTGCTGAGGTCAGGCAGAGTAGTCCTTGCCTATAGAAGTCCACAGTGGATTAATACCCTCTGGGGAATGCTGGCAATGGTGAGGAATAGAAAAGAAGGCTCTGACCATGATACTCTTTATGATCTCTCTTCTGAGGATGCGGCCTGGTACTAGTCCTGGTTACCAAAGTGAATCCATAGCGGTGACTGGAGCAGGCAGTTGGTACTGGGGCAGTCGTGAAGAGCTCTGTGCTGTAGATCAGGTGCCAGACTGAGGAGGTCTGAGATAATGTGACATTTACACGTGTGCGGGTGTCTTTGCAGGTGTACCCCCTGTCTGGACCAGTGGAAGGTGGCACTAGAATCACCATCACTGGCTCAAACCTCGGGCAGAAACATCAAGACATTGCAGACACTGTCACTGTTGCAGGAATTCCCTGTGCCGTAGATGCTCAAGAGTATGAGATCTCTAGCAGGTAGAGTATCTGCAAACCTCTTCCCAGAGGCAGGCGTTGGCTTTTCCCTTGGCTGCCGACACCAGGCTGAGATTTTGTTGCCTTTTCTGTAGCAAGTATGGAGCCTTGCCCATTCCCTAGGGAGTGCCTCTGAGTGCAGTTGCCTTCTGATTAGTTTCTCCCCAGGCAGTGACCTTGGAGCGATAACTTGGTGTACAAGGCAATGACCAAACAGTGCTGCCATGTACCCAGCACGCTGCTGGGGCCTTGTGGGTTAGCATGCTCAGGGAGTCTCAGGCTCAGAGCCACTCAGTTTCATGCGTGTGTTCCCAGTCACAGCTTTATTTCAATAAAGCAAAGGATGTGGCTTTTGTAAGTGTCACTGCTAGGGAAATTTCATATTAACACATGGCAAGGATGAGAATGTGTGACTGGAGGTACAGCACAGCTTGTTGCCCTCTGCTTGAGTGAGCATGTCCTTAGACTGTTATTTTTCACTTGCTGGCTAATCAACCTCCCAAAAACAAATGCAGTGAAAGGATCCTCTTAGCCTGGGACCGACAGGGGAGTCTTGTGGGCACTGTGCCACACTTCTGGTTAGCAGTGCCTAGCAGTTACACAGAACCTGTGAAAGTACTGGCTAGGAGGAGGCTGAGAAGGGGAAAGAGATGTTGTGCTGAATCCAGCTTATGTCAGTAATAAAGGTAACTGAGTAGCTGGTGTGCCTGGTCAAGGAAGGGCTGTATAACAGGAAAATATAGTCAGGTTTGAGAGATGTGACTTGAGGCAATTAGGAAACAGGGAGAAGGAGAGAAGAATATTTTCAGGGCAGGTAAGTGGGAGCCTTGGACAAGGGAGGGAAAGGAGCCAAGCAACCAGCAGGAGATGAGGAGAGAAGAGCAGAGCAATTGTGAGTAACCTCTCATCAGAGCTATCACAAGCCCATTTTTCCATCTCGTGGTATCTGTAGCACCCTTCCCCCAGGGAGTCAGGTAAGTTCCTGCTGGGAAGTGGCCTGCTATGTTGAGCAGTGTTGTCTGTGCTCTTTGTTTGTCTGGATCCATCTGCTTTCTGTTTTCATCCTAGAATTAGAGCATAATCTTCCTGGGGTAGCACTGTCTTTGTTCTGTCTGTCACCTGGCATCACAGGTGGTTGGCTTGAAACTGACTCCCTGCACTGCCTAGCTTCAAATTCCTGAGCCTTTTTGGTTGGGGGCATATAGCTGTGTATATGGAACTCACTCCTGAGCAAGGCACCAACAAAATTAATGTGTAAGGAAGCTGGCAAAAGTCTGCTGCAGAACTGAGTTTTTCTGTAGGTAAATCGGTGCCATAACATGGGACTCCTTGCTACTCTCTTTGAAGTATGACCTGATTTTTCACCATATCAGTTTCTCCCATGCCAAATTACAATGGAGGGACTGGAAAGAATGAAGGGGTGCATATCAAGGGAGCTGGCAGGTGCTAGAGGCTGCTGGCTGAAGAGCAGTGCCAGCTGGACCTCTTGTCTTGACTTTTGTTCTGCATCAGGCACAGTGCTGATGTGTGGATTGACCACTGCTAGCCCAGCGTCACTCCGGAACTCACTGTTTGGATCAGCTCTGGTCTGTAGTGGAGTTCTTTGCCTCTCTGTGCAACTGCTACAGTGAGCTTCATCCCTTCTGTCCCGCTGTCAGATAGAGTGGCTCATCTGAATGGCCACCTGCTTTACCTGCCACCCCTGAACCAGCTCGTAAAGGAGTTTCTCCATGTGCAGTTGTGTGTTCTGAGCACGTGATAAGGCTGCAAGAGAAGGGAGCTGAGGTTGCCAGGTGGTTTTAGAACATGGCACAGTGGGTACAGCTCATCCTTCCCATGCTGTGACACTGTTCTTGGATTGTCCTGCAGCATCGTGTGCGTCACCGGTGGGAGCTGGACAGAGAGATTTGGGCACATTGTGGTGGAAGTGCCTGGAGGAGGACGTGGAGTCTCCGAGCATATTTTCACCTATCAGGTAATACAGCTATCACTTCTTTGATGCCTCTCTCTGTTCTTTCAGTACTTCTGCTGTACAGGAGCTTAAGACACCCTCAGAAACTTGATGCTGGTGTTCTTTTTTCTGATTTATTTGCTGTTTGTGTTCTGTGGGGTGTTTTTTTCCCTATTGCTAAGATGATAAGAACAGCTCTGGTGAATTGTACTGAGCTATCTTTCTGATTTGCAGATTTTTGTTTGTGACTTTGTTAGGACCTTGTTAGGACTTGTGACTTTTTCTTAATCTGAAAACTAAGAACTTGAACAGTCTTTGCTTCTGACCTTCAGCAGCTGGCAGTGAGTCTGGAATCACTGTGCATTGCATGGATAGGTTTCCTTTATTTTTAAACACCTTTCTGATAAGTTGTTGATATCTTAAACACGGCGACTATGGAATATTTAAGTAAGATACAATGCTCACTTTTCAACCTTGCTGTACAACTATGAATTAATTGTATGTGACTGGTTGCATGTCTCCATTTCCCTTGGGAGGAGGAAAGAGATGCCTGAAAAGTTTTGGGCTGTTACACTTTTGGCCATATGCTTTGTGTATTGGATTATATTTGTTGTTGTTCTTCGGTTTCCTGATGACCATTTTTAGGCAAGGTGATGGGAGCTGCGTTCTGTATTGAAGATATGAGTGCAACAGCTATTTGTACTGTGTCATAAAGATTCCCTTATTATATTCAATCCATTTCCCAGGAATTGATAATGCTTGATGTGTTTTTTATTGAGATCTGTGCTTTGCAGGCAATGGAATTCTTATAGGCACTTCTTATGAGCATTAGCTATTTGAAAGCTCACACCTGGGCTGCTTTACTGTTGTTGTCTCCCAGCTCCTTCTCATTTAGTCTATCTCACTTTTCATTTATTAGTAGTGAACTACTTGTCTCAGTCTGTTGCCAGGCCCCCTGAATGTTTGTGCACCACGTCTGTGGGACTGAGTTTTTGTTGCTGTGAATAATTTTATCAAATTTCCTTTCTCCTTCCCAGGTGACCCAACAACATGTTTAACTGCACAGGTCTTAACACAGATTCTTAGGGCTCCCTGCTGGTAATCTCCTCATCTGCTAGACAAACAGACAGTTTATTTGCTACCTTATGTTCCTATCTTGAGTTCTTAATCCAGTTACTGATCTGAACAATCCCTTTGAACTGTTGATCCTAGGGTTTGTGTGTGAGGCTTATGGCTTTGCTATTTGCAGCACTGATCTGCCTTTTGCATTTTGTGGAAAAATAAGTCCCTAGCTCACGTTTCTTGCTGGTGTGGTTGGTCCCCTCCCTCTGCTGCTACCACTCCACAGTAAAAGGAGGTGCAGGACGCTAGGCTGTGATTAGGAACTATAGCTTGTATTTTCTGAGTGCTGGAGATCCCTGTTGCTTTCTTTCCTTGCCTTATTTTGGGAGGTCCTTGTCATTCAAGCACTCAAGTTCTCTCTTTTATTCATTTATTTTTTTTCTTTCCCTTTTTCCTTCCAGAACCCAGAGCTGAAATCCATAGTTCCAACTCAGGGCCCCAAAGCAGGAGGAACCTGCCTTACACTGCTGGGCTCAAAGCTGCTAACTGGACATCCTAATGAGATCAGTGTCCTGCTCGGAGACCTCCCTTGCCACATGTAAGATCAGACCTGCCAACCTGCTGGCTGTGCGCTGCCCCAACTCTGCCCTAGAGCCCTGCAGGGCTGTCAGCATTAGACTTAGAACCTTTCATCATTAAACTTAGGAAGATGGGGGAAGAGGTTCACAGGCTGTCGGTAAGGAGCAAGGCACTGTATTATAAAACCTGTCACTTCAGTGGCTCTATGAATCCCTTGTTCTCTTTTTTATCTCTCCAAGCCTCTCTGAGATGACAGAGGATCAGTTGGCATGCCAGACAAGTCCCAGCAATGTGTCTACAGAACTCCCAGTCACTATCAAATACGGAGACCAGGAGCGGAGGCTGGAAGGTTCCCTCTTCAGATATACTCTAGATCCCAATATCACTTTTGCAGAGCCACCCAAAAGCTTTCTCAGGTACAGAGACAGTGCTTGCACCTTCCTCAGGGCTCTGTGCTGTGGTAGGCAGGTACTGCAGCACTGCTGGCATGTTTGTTGTGTGGCACACTGGAGTGATGCCAGGCCTGTAGGAGTGGGCATAAGCAGAGGAGTGGGAACATGGGCAAGACAGAGCTAGCAGTTAATAGGTGTGTGAGATGAGCTGCTTTTCTCTTCCAGTGGGGGGAGAGTACTCAGAGTTCATGGATACAACTTGGATGTTGTACAGAGCCCCAAGATTCGAGTTACAGTTTCTCCCTCTGAACGCCGGCGCCGAGGCCTGGGGAGATGGCGCAGAATCATCGCAGACACCGAGTGCCCCAAGGATGCTGTGTGCAGCATCCAGCAGGTAACAGGCAGAGGGCTCGGTGGGGCTGTGGGTGTGTGAGGGCTGGTGTGCTGCATTGCAGGGGTGGATTTCTGTCAATGGGGCATCTGGACCCGTTGCTCTGCTTGTGTCCTACCGACTAAGTCTTGGCCAAAGCCATGTCTGCCAGGTTAAGTGCTTTCACAAACACTGACATGAATTGGATCTACTTTTGCTTAGGGATGTTCAACATTTTTCTGCTCTCCAGCTGCCTGTCTTGAGATTGTAACTGTGGAGGTATTGATCTGACCATCAAGACAGCACATCTTGCAGCAGAATTGAGAATATTTGGTAGCCAAAGTACAAGCGTTTGTATTCATAGTGCAAACAATAGAGGGCTTCCTGTACATAAACTTGGAAGTCTTGCTGAGGTATAATCATCTGACATTTCATCTGGCATTCCAAGATACATGGTGAGGATGATGCTTTTCATGTTCTTACATGTATATGAAAGCTTCTCAAACCATGAAGGATGCTTTTTTTCCATACTAAATCCCTTTCGGGTTTTTATTGCACAGATCTGGAGCTCAACGTGTGCCCAGTGGACATGCACTAGTAAAAGCTGTTTCTCCAGTATTTTTTGTGACTCTGAATTCCTATGGGGGAAGGGAAAAAAAATGACTCTAGTGCTTTCACCACATGTTGAAAATGTATGTAACCCAACACAGGACACTTCTTTCACAGAAACATTCAGGTTATTAAGTCTGCCATGTGTTAGAGATCTTTGATCTAAAGCTGATGCTACTTCAGAATTTACTGCTGGGGGAATGGCAGAGCTAATTTCCACTGTTAAGAATTTGGTACTTGCAGCAAAACCAGTGCTCAGAAAACTGTCTTCAGAGGAACCAGGGAATTCCTCAGATCTTGTATTTTCCTCTCTACAATTAGCAGTTTCTCTGGCATTGCTCCAGATAAAAGGAGCACAGATTGGCCCCAGATTGCTCAGGGCTGGGAAGTATTGCAGAGCTGCAGGAGAAGTGTTAGTGGTTTCCCCACTGACATTTTTATCTTTGCTTTTAGTTTGAAGAACCATGTCTTGTTAACTCCTCCTACCTGATCCTGTGCAAAACTCCAGCCATTAACCTGCTACTGCGGAGTGTCCACATCAAGCTGGAATTTATTCTGGATAATCTGAGCTTTGATTTCAACTCATTGCATCCCATGCCCTTCTCTTACGAAGTCAACCCCATCCTCAAGCCGCTGAATGCTGAAGATCCTGCCAAGCCCTATCGTCACAAGCCTGGAAGTGTGATTTCTGTGGAGGTAACACAAGAAATAACATACGCTGTACAAAATTGTTGATAACCTTAGACTGTTTTAAATTGGTGTCGTGCAGCATCCAGTGTTTTAAAGCATTTGACAGGCTTGCAGCCCGTAGCAGCACATCTATTTCAGCCCCTGAGAAATGCCACCTAATAAGAAGGGAAAAGGACTGCACCAAAAAAATCCTCTTGAGCCCATATGGATTCGTAGGGCTCATAGAAAGTTCCATACTCTTATTTTTAGTCTCAATGTAAAGTAACACTATTCATGTGTGAGATACTGGTATGAAAAAAAGCCTACACCTGCCAAACCCAAAGCTGCCAACCTTTTCATGTCACCTTAGGAGTGAAAAGAAAGGGCTCCTGTCATCCTGCGGTGCTGGTCTCCGTCGTCGTCTCTGGAACCACAGATAATGGAGATGGTTTTTAGTCCCATCTGATGTTCTGTTCTATTTCTGTTCCAGGGGGAAAATCTAGATCTGGCCATTTCCAAGGATGAAGTTATGGCCATGATTGGGGAAGGAATCTGTGTGGTGAAGACATTAACGAGGAACCATCTGTACTGCGAGCCTCCCTCTGAGCAGCCGGCTCCACGGCACCGCACAAAGCGGGAGGGCACTGATCTGCTCCCGGAGTTCACGGTAGGGAATCAGCAAGAAGGCATGTTTGTAGTAGATGCACAAGCAGGATGTGGTGCTAGGAGCAGTGGGACAGGGAGAAGAAAGGCAGAAGCCCTCGTGGCAAGGAGCCGTTCTTGTTCTTAACTCTACCTGTAAGTGCCAAACACTGCCTGAAAATACATGGAGCAGAATTCAGAAGTTGTGCTGTGGGACGTAGCCTTACAGGAGAGCTTTAGACCACCTGTAATCATGATGGAGAAGCCATTTCTTTGCTTTTCAGTGCTGCACCGAGCTTATATCACAGCTATGCTTTCTTTACAGGTGCAGATGGGAAACCTGAACTTCCTCCTGGGCAGAGTGCAGTACGACACAGAAAGCCAGCTCACCTTTCCGCTGGAGGCACAGATTGGTCTGGGTGTTGGTGCATCCTTCGTGGCACTGATTGTTCTGGTCATTGTCTTCATATACAGGTGAGAGGCTGTGCACTGTATGGGAGCTCCAGTTGCCCTGGAGTCCTTGGCAGCAACACAACAGCTGGTAAAGGACAGTCCCTGGGCTAAGATCACTGGGAACCATTCTGCTGCTTATTACAGGAGGAAGAGTAAACAGGCTCTGAGGGATTACAAGAAAGTTCAAATCCAGCTGGAAAATCTAGAAACAAGTGTTCGGGACAGATGCAAAAAGGAATTCACAGGTCAGTCACAGAGCTCCTATGTTTCTGCAGATTTGGGGAAGTTTGAAGAATCACAATGAGCCCTACTGCTTTTTTGTAGCTGCATATTTGTTTGGGTAACTCAGGACAGGCTATAGCTTACATCCTATGCCAGTGCATTGAAACATGGCCAAATGTCTTATTTAATGTTTCTTTTTAATTCAGAGCACAGTGATCTGTAAAGACCCCTATGATTCTCCAGTTCATCCTCCAGACTCAGATGAGGAGCTAAAGGTCAGGACAGCGCACTTGGAGGGATCTGAAGGGCAGCTGGTCCAGTCTGTGTGTAGAGCAGGTTAAATTACACCCCATACATATCCTGAGTCTGCAAACCTTGAACTTCAGCTGCTTTCAGCGGTGAGCCCTTGTGTGGGGCATCTACAGCTCTAGAACTGTGCAGGCAGCTCAGACTGTAATCTGCAACTAATGTGGGAAGGCAGGGAGGTGCAGGAAAGTTCTAGTACTTTGTATATAGTTAATGCCTATGACCACAGATCAGTGCCAAACTGTGGCTTCCTCTTTATAAAACAGCAAACCAGCCCCTACCTGTAAAAGCGAATAATCACCAAATTCACTTTCTGGTTCCTCATGCAGTTCTCCCAGTGCCTAGTCTAGTGATAGATGTTCTAGTAATGGGACCCTAGTGTGACTCTTCTGATAGGAAACGTGCTTCATCTTCCCAGCATTCTCATCCTGCTGGCTCTAATTCCTGCCTAGACTCACTCTGTACTGTCACTTGTGTGATAATGGGGATAAAATCACAGGCGTTTCCTTTCCCCCAGACCTGATGACTGAGATGATGGACCTCACAAGTGACCTTGTGGGCACAGGCATCCCCTTCCTGGACTACAAGTCCTATGCAGAGCGCATTTTCTTTCCGGGCCACCGTGAGTCACCACTGCAAAGGGACCTGGACATCCCTGAGTGCCGTCGGCAAACTGTGGAGCAGGGCTTGGTCCAGCTTTCCAACCTGCTCAATAGCAAACTCTTCCTCACCAAGGTAACGTGCCTCTCTGTGCTGCAGCATGCTGTGGGATCGGGGTCGTGTTGCTGTTAACTGGTGGCAGGAAGCAGGCAGCGCTCAGTGAAGTTCATTCCTGTGCAGTCCCCTGTGCAGCACCCCTGCTTTCAAGAGCCAGTCGTTGTGGCTGCCTTGTTTGCAGTGGATTCACACGCTGGTTTGTCTCTCCCACCAGTTCATCCACACTCTGGAAATCCAGCGCACTTTCTCCCCAAGAGACCGGGCCTATGTGGCATCACTGCTTACTGTGTCGCTGCATGGGAAGCTGGAATACTTCACTGACATCCTCAAAACACTCCTGAATGACCTTGTGGAGCAGTACGTGGCCAAGAACCCAAAGCTGATGTTGCGGAGGTGAGCCAGGCAGATGTGAGATGTGGCCCCACCTGAGGGGACAGAGCTTTTCTGTCCAGATAGCAGACTTTGAAACTGCTGTGGGTAAGATAACATTATGGTACGAGCTGCAGTTGTAGAACCAATATGTGTCCAGGCAACACATGACAGAAATGATGGTAGCCCTCACCCCAGCCAGCAGCTGGCAGGAAGGAAAAAAGATGAGAGAAGAAGCTGGCATTGCCCACCCCAGATTCCTGTTCTTTTGCAGCTGCTGCATGTTAGTTCTCTTCTTGAGTTCAAGTACTGGGACTGCCAAGTCTGCCAGTATCACTTGCTGTGTAGAGGTCCCTAGACTCACAATCGTGCCATGTTTGGAAACTAAATTGAAGTATCTCCTGTGTTCAGATCCCCATTAGCCTCCTGTCCAGTGCATCCTTCTGATCTGAACAAATTTATTTTGTTTGAGACCTGCTGGAGGCTGTCCTCTCTCCCCTCCTTGTCTGTCTCACTTCAATTCTGTCATTTGGTGCCTCCTTCAGGCTGAAAAGTGCCTCAAATTAGAACTGGGATCAAAAGGATTTAACCTGAATGGTCCCTAAAGTAATTTATTCTTTCTCCCTCTTTTTTTGATCGTTTATCATTGTTTAGCATTCTCTTTTCTCAGAAAGGATGATCTTTATCTCCAGTTCCATCCTTGCTGTGCAGTATATTCATGTGACCAACCCCATGCTCTCTGTCTTTTTCAGGACAGAAACAGTGGTAGAGAAGCTGTTAACCAACTGGATGTCCATCTGCCTGTATGCATTTGTGAGGGTGAGTTCTTTGTGCCCTTCTGGAGTAAAAGGGCCAAGAGATGAGAGACAGTCACAGCTTTGCTCTTCTCTCACTGTTAGCTGAAATAATGCCAGAGACATCCTGTGTTTCAGAAGTTACTGGGGAAGACGGATGCATTAATGCCACTCCACATTTCAGGATGCCTTGTTAGATCGTGGCGAGAGCTCAGTGTAGCTCCTGTATCATCACAGCGTAAGGCACACTGGCCATAGGCTGCTCTGTGTGTGGGGAGGATGCCCCTGATTTAATTACTCTCCTGGGAGAGAGTGGCGAGGAGTGTCCTTCTGATTAGCGGCATGGAGACAGAGCCATGCCTTGGTCTTACGTGTCCAGCTGGTCCTTAGCCCCTACATGTTCCTTGTGCTTGGAGTGGGAGCTGTTGGCAGAGACTTTCTTTGCCTGCAGTGGTAGCTGCTGTATCTCCTGGTATCCTCTGATCCACTGCTCTTCTCTCTACTTGGGAGTCTGTGATTCCAGGCTGTTGGGTTCTGCTGGGGGAACCAAGGTGAATTCCTGACAGGTGAAACTCTGTCCCTTCTGTGCCAGGACTCTGTAGGAGAGCCACTTTACATGCTGTTTCGAGGAATCAAGCACCAGGTGGACAAGGGGCCTGTCGACTGGGTGACAGGGAAAGCCAAATACACCCTGAATGACAACCGCCTTCTGAGGGAGGACCTGGAGTATCGCACTCTGGTAAGCACCAAATCTTTTGTTCCCTGTGGCCCTCTGGGGTGACAAGGCTCAGAGTCTGTCCTCATCAAGATAGAAGTACAGTATCCTGCCGCTGTCTCCTGGCAGCCAGGTTTCTCCCAGCAGCATAGTGTTGTAGCTGAGTGCGAGCTCTCCTAAATGGGGCACTTCTACCCTAGCTGATAGGAGTTCCCATCTCAGTAATGTGGTGTATGAGCCACTCTCTGTGTCTGGAAATAAGGGGATAAAATTGCTGATGGCAATGGTGGAAGCCTCTCCCCAGCACAGTTAAACTGGCTTCCAGCTCTCAGAGCAAGGCCAGGAACATGGCTTTCAATGATATGTGCCATTTTCGTTTCTGAAACTTCTTCAGTGGAAGGAATAGACGTTAACTTGCTTTAATGGCAGAAGTCAAAAGTGTAGATGTGTTGGATGTGTCAGAATAGCTGTGACCTTTTCTTCTGTTCCACAGACTTTAAATGCTTTAACACAAGCAGGAGTTGCTACAGGAGGGGCAGAGGACTCCCAGGGGATTTCTGCTAAAGTGCTAGACTGTGACACCATAACACAAGTGAAGGAGAAAATCCTAGATCAGATTTATAAAGGGATGCCGTACTGTCATCGACCAGACCCAGACACCCTGGATCTCGGTGAGCAGAACTCCTTGGTGCCAAAACTTAATGAGGACGTTAAAAAGTGGTTGTTTCTGCACAGCACCCACATCTGCATGAAGTTTGTTGCTCTCTGCTGAGCTTGCAGAGTTCCTGACCGGTGGCCTTGTACTTTTGCTGGACCCAGCATGGCATGTCATAGGAAAGGCTATAAATGTAAGAGGCAGGGGTGGGAAAGAAGCAACTGAAGTCCAGCCCCTTCCATTTTGTGATGCTTAGGGTTCTTTGCCAGATCTGGACCATGGCAGTGGCTTGAGAAAGAGGATATGGGGGGCGGGGGATGGACAGAGGATGTGTATGGGATGAGAAGACTTTTGAGTGTAAAGATGCTGTAGTCCTAAGCCAGCTCTTGCTGCCAGTGGAGTCAGTGGTAACGTTTAAATAATGTCTGTCAGAGAGGATTTTCTCTTTTCTGTCTTCAAGTTCCACTAGCTCAGGCTGGAGTGCAGAAGACTTTCAGAGATGCCTCAGCTTAACTGTTTTTTTCCTTCCATGTCCTGTGTTTTAATGGCTGTAGAGTGGAGATCAGGGCTGGCAGGTCATCTGATACTGTCTGATGAGGATGTGACATCTGTTGTTCAAGGAACTTGGAAACGCCTGAACACTCTTCAGCACTACAAGGTCAGAACTGACTCTACTATTGCTTCATCTGCCCTTTCCTCTTTTGCACACTGTTGTACCCCATTTATGACTGTGACTGTACTGTAAAAGTAGTACAGCTTTCATTGCAGTGGCATATTCAGATGGAGTCAGTACTGTGTCCTGAACTGTAACTTCTCAACCACCATAGTCCTCTCCCTAGCCTGCACTTGAGACCTGGACAGGTCTGGAGCTTGAGGGCAGTGCTGCTAAGTTCATTAATGTTCCAGTCCAAGTCAGTTAGGAGTTGATAATGCACTGGTCTGTGATGTAGCTTCTAGGACTGGAAAGATGATTTTTTTTACCTACTTTGCACCGATGTGTCACACTTGTTCTAAATGTGAATGATGTTGATCCCTGAGCACTGCCATTTTCTCTGTATGTCAGTTACTCAGACTGCACAAACTAGATTCTCCCTCCATCAGGACAGACAGTGGCGATGCCCCAATATCCCTGCTCCTATTAACACTACAGTGTGTTCAGAGTTTATTTTGCTCTACAAGCACTTGCCCGTTGTGCTGATGGGAAACATGCTGTTTGTTCTGAATGTTGACATTTGCGTGTGTACAGGTGCCTGATGGAGCAACAGTAGCTCTGGTGCCACGACTGACCAAACATATCCATAGAGAGAATCAAGATTACATCCCAGGAGAGAGTGAGTTTGATGTCTTATTCTTATAAAATAATTTTGTAGTACCTTGGTGGGACAAGAGTTGCCATAGCCCTACCTTTATGCTGCTGTAGAAGGCCGATGGGCAATTTGAACCCTTATAAGACTGTCGAGAAATTGGAATTCTGAGCAGACAAGGTGAGAACAGTACAGAAACTGTCTTTAAATAACTGCCTGTTTAGAAACACCTATGCTGGAGGATGCAGATGAAGGTGGGATAAAACTTTGGCACCTGGTAAAACCAACAGAAGAGCCAGAGCTTCCCAAGCATCGTCGTGGAAGCTTGAGAGATCGGGAGCGAGCCAAGGCAATCCCGGAGATCTACCTGACACGTCTGCTCTCTATGAAGGTGAGAAGAGGCACAGATGGTGTTGCACTTAGGATCTTACCTTCTTTCATACCCCCCTGAAGGACTGCAGGGACATGTATGAGGATAAGAGCCTAGCACTGCAATACCAAACTTTCATTCCTACTAATGCATTAAGTTTTGCAGAGCCTCTAGGAGAGTGAAATGTGTTTATCATCTCTGGGTCCCACAGATAAAGGTAGGTGCTTAATGCTTGGCAGTGGAGTTTTTGGTAGCATTGGCGACAGGGTTCGTAGGTCTGCTTGATTTCCACTTCATCAGTGGCCCGAAAGGTAGCATTGACCTGATTACTTCCTACAGCAAGATGATGCTAACTCCACATCAGCCATGCACAGACTCAGCTGCAATCATAAATCAGGCATAACACCTGTTCACGTTCTCCTTTTTGCTTTATTCCAGTATCACTGTTGAAAATTGACCCAGGAACTTGTGCCTTAGTCTCTGTTCTTGAGAAAGGATCAGCTTTCCACTTTCCTGCTTGCAGAAGTGCAGTTCCTCAAGGGAAAGCTGAGGCACTTTGCCAGGCAGTGCCTCTGTTCTGCCCACAAACTTTTTTTCTAGCTGCTAAGCAAACAAACCTTTTCTCTTCGTTCCTGTCTGGCTCAACACAGCAGCTTGGCAGTCCCCCTCCACTGCTCAGTCTCTATGCTGCAGTGCCAACCCGTGGTGTTGCAGGCTCTCTCTCCTGTAGTAACTCCCCAAACTGGCTCTTAGTGGGTCTGATTGCCTTCTGTGTTTTGGTTGTTCACAAACTTTAGCCTGGGGCCTCGTTTCTCCACTGCTGCTTCCTGCAGTGGACGTGAGGTTGTTTCAGGATCACTGAAAGAACATTGCTGAGCAAAAAAGGGTAACCTGGCCTGGGCTCTTCACTTTCCTCTACCTGTGATGACCATGTCCTGCTTGGCTCTCCACAGGGCACTCTGCAGAAGTTTGTGGATGACTTGTTCCAGGTGATCCTCAGTACTAGCCGCCCTGTTCCCCTGGCAGTCAAATACTTCTTTGATCTGTTGGATGAGCAAGCTTTACACTATGGGATTGCAGACCCTGAGACCATCCATATCTGGAAGACAAACAGGTATGGTCTTCCTGCGGGCCGTGACAGAGGTGTTGCTGACCTATTTGGAGCTACCTGCTTGCAAAGAGACAGCCACCTCTGCCTACTGAGGAGAAGCATAATGAGAGTGCAGGGCAGTAAAGCACAGTGTGAAAAGCTGGTTTTGCTGTGAGGGCTAATTTGGGGTATGAACAGCAGTATGTGCAGAATATCTTCAGCACAACAGCCGCTTTCTGTACTGATAAGCTGTCATGCTTCCATCTTCCCTGCAGCCTCCCACTGCGGTTTTGGATCAACATCATCAAGAATCCCCAGTTTGTTTTTGATGTGCAGACATCAGATAATGTAGATGCTGTGCTCCTGGTCATTGCACAGACCTTCATGGACTCCTGTACCATTGCTGACCATAAGCTAGGGCGGGTAAGTATGGAAGTAGCAGCATATGGCTGGCACAGGCTGTGTGAGCAGTGCTGGCTCAAGAGGCAGCAGCTCCATGTAGTCCTCCAAGAACAGCCTGCCAGGCCTGCACCTTGCTCTCATGCGCCACTAGAGCACTGGAGAGTAGCTCAGTGCAGACACCTGTGTTGAGGAGGAAAGAGTTTTGTTTAGAGCACAAGTTATCCTGGGGTGCTCCGTATTTGCAGCTTGCATCTGCTCAGGGTACAGAGCATGCGTGCTGTGCAGCAGACAGTGTGTGTCACACAATGCATCACATATGAGAGTCAGGCTGGCCATTGGAAAATACTTATTTGCCACCACTGTTCTCCCTGTGCCAAGAGTAGAATGGGTCACCAGAGATGAGCTGGATCTCTGGAGGATTTCAGATTTAGTCTGTGTGAAGCCTTGACCAATGTGATACCATGCTGGTCCACAGTACGGTAGAAGGCAGGCTGGAGATCCCCGAGGTCCTTTCACCTTCATGGTTCCTCAGTCTGTGTTACCAGAAGGGAGGCCAGTATTTGAAGTGCCTCTGCACGAAGGGCCAACGTTCCAGATCCTGGACAAATGACAGACAGCAGAATGGTGTCACCTGCTCAGGTTTGTGCACTGCGTGGCGTAGGAGCTATTTGTAACCAGTTCTTGTTTTGGATGTTCAAGGACTCTCCGATCAATAAGCTGCTCTATGCCCGGGACATTCCTCGCTACAAGCAGATGGTGGAAAGGTGAGCAGTGGGTGTGGGGAGTATAGTTTAAGAAGGATGCTAGGAGGAACGTGATGGTAATTGCCTCTGTACCACCGTGCAGGTATTATGCAGACATTCGCCAGACCATCTCTGCCAGTGACCAGGAGATGAACTCTGCCCTGGCTGAGCTATCGCGGGTAAATAAACGAGTTTGTTTCAGAAATCATGCTAGCCATTCGTCTGTGCATCTCATAGGAAGTAGGTAATGCAAAGATGAGATATTCCAGCTGTGTGCTGTTCTACTCAGAACTACTAGTTGTTCCCAGTGGTTGCTTTGCTTCGTGGTACCACTGGGGAGAGAACACCATAGGCTTCCAGGCAAGGAGTATGTTTGATTATTTTTTTCCTTCCCTAGGAACTGCTGGTGAATTCTCTTTCCCATTGCTTTGTGCTGGGAGTGACTCCAGTACATTTCCTTATTAGTTATGAGGACACAGAATTTGCAAGAACAATTGTTAGATGTCACAGCTTTATCTAACTTCCTCTCTTATTCAGAATTACTCAGGTGACCTCAATTCCCTGGTGGCTCTGCATGAATTGTACAAATACATCAACAAGTACTATGACCAGGTGAGTGTGTTCCCAACAGGTATGGACACAACCTTCTCCTTCTACCATCCAGTTAAAAAACAAAACAAAACAAAAAAAAACTAAATTAATTATTAAGAGCAGCCAGATTATTACAGTGCTGCGTATTGTTTCACTGACATACATAACTTCCATGTCGTAAGTTTAATTTATTCTTGTCAATGAGGGAGGGAGGACATCATGCAAACAAGGGACCTGGCTCTAACCCAGGGGGCTGTTAGCATTTCACTGCATTTAATATTACTATGTTTAATATTATCTCCAGCCAGCAGTGCTGCATGCTGGAGAAAGGCAGCCAGTGAGCTCTGTCTTGTTGCAGATCATTACTGCTTTGGAAGAAGACCCAACAGCACAGAAGATGCAGCTTGGATATAGGCTACAACAGATTGCAGCAGCTGTGGAGAATAAAGTCACAGATTTGTGACAGGTGCAGACAGACTGTTCTCCCCTGGCTGGACAGGGACAGTGCTCGTCCTAGCTGTGTGCAGGGTGTCCTGCTGTCATTGGAACCAGACTCTCCAAGGAGCCAGCAAGTGACATGAACGGGGTTGGCCAAGGCAGTACCAAGTACAAGCGTCCTTGCATCTCAGAGAGTATTTTTTTAAAGTTGTTCTTTTTTTCTTTTCAAAAAGCGAAACAAATGAATTTCAGTTTTCCTCTGACAGTCTCAGGGGACCAAGCAGCTCCTTCCTACAGTTATCAGGAGAATGTGCCAACCTTCTAAATGCTGCTGTTGAAGAGCCAGGTGGCAGCACCAAGCACCGTGTCTGTGGAGTCCTTGGCCTTGCGTGAGTGCCCTTGCCCAGTGCTGGGAGGCTCCCCTACTGGCTGCTTATTTTGATGGGGATACAGGAAGCTTTCCCCTGGTCTTACAGCTGCACTGACCTTCATCTCCATCTGGATGAGTGAGCGCTCCTGCTCTGTTCCACCTGAGAAGCTTCTTTGCAGCAATGTTTTCACTGGTTCTGGATGTTGGATGTAAGAAGGAGAGGGACCAATGGCAAAGGTCCCTTGCTCCCAGTGTTCTGGTCTTATTACTTGGGTGCAACGTCTGTTTGGATGAGATACGTTCACCAGCACGCAGGCTTGCCCAGGAGCCCACTGTAAATGGGCCACCCCCCACCCTTCCCCTCAGGACAAATGTAGTGTGTGAGGAGTCAGCTGTCTGGCTGGTCCCAATCTCCACTGACCCAGCTCTGGATCTGTCAGAAGTTCAGGGGTTGTCCTGCTCTTTGGAAAAGCACAACAATGCCTTGTGCCACTTCCCCTTTCCTCTGGTATCTGGTTGTTCTGCTGCTCTGAACTGGATTTGTAAATACCCTCAGAAGGATAATGTATTTAAATGCTAAAGGAGAATGTTTAACTTTGTTGCTTTGAGACAAAGCTTTTCTTGGAGAAGCATCTCTGTGCACTTCTACTGACAAACGTCTGTCAGCACTGGAGCAAAGTTTTCTCCACTGCTTTGTCTGCAGGGATAACTTGTGGATGTCTCCATTGTAACAGCAGCTTGCTTTTCCCCACAGCTCAGTTTGATGTTTAGCTGTGTGTTCCTGTTAGACTTGCCTTACACCTCAGTTTTGCCTCCCAAACTCTCCTGTTGTGGCACACAGAAGGGTGATCTGGTGAGCTGTGAACTCAAGGGAGCCATGAGGCACAACCACGTTCCTGAAGAGCATCTGGTGTCCTGCAAACAGCAGTGACTGATGCGAGGAAAGCAAGGCCAGAGCAGGTGTGCCATTAGCCTTCAGCCATAGCTGGGCAGCACCTCTGCTCCCTCCTGGAGAGCCGTCAGGAAGCCTCACAGCACTCTGCCCATAGTGATTGAATTCCAGTTTTAAAGGGTATCCTTCACTTTCTTATCCCCCATTGAGTCCAAGCTGATGTCCTTCGTCTCTGAGGTAGATCAGGTCTGACTCCTCTGACACTGCTGATGGTGGTTGTGCAGGCCTGGAAGGACTAGAGCTAGATCAGGGCAGGATCACATGCCTGCCTCTCTGCGTTGCACATAGCTGCATTTCCAGGCCTGTGAATCAGCTGTGTGGCTTTGTGTGAGCACTGTGCAGTTGCAGGATGTTTTCCTGAGCAATATAACCAGCTAATGTTGGCATCTCTTCCTGCAAAGCCAGTGCTTTCCCATGAGCTCTCCTCCCAGCAGAATTCCCAGGTACTTTGTGTGCTCAGAGTGCTGCTGTCCTGCTGTGCAGAGCAGCTGCTGAGCAGGCCCTGTCAAGAGCTCAGTGTCTGCCAGCCTCCTTTCCCAGAGAGCACCAGTTTGTGTCTGTCTCTCGCCTGACCGCCCCATTCCATGGAACTTGTGGGAACTTAGCTTCTCTGAAACCTCTGTCTCAACAGAACGTGGTAAAATTAGTCCCTAAAAAGCCGGGTGGAAGAAAGGACTTGGCAGTGTCTGCCAGGAGCTGTGTGCTGTAGGCTGCTGCTGTTTTGTGGGATTTCCCTCTGCTTTCCCTGAACGAGGTGGTGCAGGACTTGATTCTGGATTCCCCTCGAACGAGTAAGGGAGGGAGACTCAGGAGCGCTCCTAGGGATCCAGGTCTCTCCTGCTCTGCACTGGCAGCTCTGTGTTCTGTTGTGTCTCTTCTGCTGTTACTTGCTGCGGTCAGATGAGTTCTGTCCACACAGCCTGGCTCAGGCTGCCAGGGAAGCAGGCTCCACATCCTCTTTACTTCTCAGTAGTGCTTCTGGATGTTGGAGATTATTTACTTTCTCTAAGAATATCTGTGAAAGTCGGCTTTTATCAAAGCAATAATCAAGGCATAAGAGTAGAGCTAAACGTAAGTGATTTCTTTAACATCTCAAGTTTGTCCCTATGTGGCTGACCAGGAGGCACTGCCTGGCGCAGGGGCAGTGAGTGGTGCCCAGCTCTCCCCACTGCTTGCCTTTGGAGTTGTAGGTAACAGTGTCCTGCTCACTGGGGGCATGTGCTGCAGCTCCTTGCTGGGTGCTTAGGCTTGGCCCTGTTTCTCTCCGTCCACACCACGCTCCTGTGGTAAAAAGCATTACTACAACAGGGTTCTGTTGCATTGAAATTTGCACAAAACAGCTTTTATTATAAAATTCCCTAGTGCAGGGAAGACTTTATTTATTATTTCTCATAATTCACGTTTCTTCCAGTCTCTGCCTGGTTTCTCAGCTTGTTGGGTGCGCTGGGGATGGAAGGAGCCCCTCTGATGCTCCTGCAGGCAGCAGAATGGAGCTGTGGAGAATGTAAGTGCTGTGAGGGGATGTCACCATGTCAATCGTGTCCTCAGAAAGATGATGTTGAATGGCAGGTTTGGGGTCTGCTTTGTACTGCGGTCAGAGAAATACATTTGATTTCACCGTGGTCTGCATGAAACGCTGATAACTGATCAGTATTAAGCATCATGAGTGAGTTTGAGTGTCTCCTGTCAGTAAGGCTAGGAGTAGCCAGCACCCACACGATGGAGGTGTGAGAGTGCTTGCCTTCATCTGTTTGGTGGCAAACTGTAGGCTGTATCTGGAAGCTTTTTTCTTTAGTAGAAAAGATGGGTAATTTCTTTTTAAAGAAAACAAGAGGGCTTTGAGATCCTGCTGCCTTGGTGGAATGCCATTTCTTTTTCAGGGTATGCCCCAGTTGCAGCAAGATGCTGCTTTTTTGGTGCCTTTCTTGTCAGAGTGATTGTTTTGGTTTCCAGAATACCTAGCTTGTTCCTGTAGCCCTTCCTCCTGGTCTTGTCCAGGTATTTGCCCTTTCCCAGCCAGGCAACTTGGTGTCTCTGTTACAGCACGATCTGATCTGCTTTTGTGCCATGCCACACCTTGAGTTCTGCTCAGAGCACCTGAGGTACTGTCTTTCTCAAATTGGAATTAATAATTAATATAAAAAGCTTGAAAAAAAATCTGAATTTTGTTACATAGTGTAATAACTGTTTGTAGATACTGTTCTGAGATGTAGGAATCTTTTGGTGATATAAGAGGTTTTGTCTGTAAATAATCAGTTTAGAGTTCAAATGATTTTAATAAAGAGAATTCTTACACAATAATTCAATAAATTTTAATATACAATCTGTGTGTCACACTTGTGTTGAACAGTAATGTGATGGCCCACACTGTGTTCACCTTCTGGGATGTGAGTGGGGACAAATCTGGTCCAGGGCAGCTACAGCTCCGGCTGTTTTTGCAGGAGTGGTGAGCGTGATGCAGACCGAGGCTTCATGCTCCCCCATTGCTGGTGTCCACCAGGGTGAGGCAGAAAGCAGAATTTCTCTAACAACTCCTAATTCTTAAACTAATTGCAGCAGGCTCCTTTTCTTTACTAGCGGTTATAGGTGGTTTGCTTTATCGTGTGTGTGTGCACGTGTGTGTGCCTACACACATAAAACACCACTGTGCTTAAGTCCTGCCTTCACCTATGTGTGTGTTCTTCCTGGCCTTTTATGGGTTACAGAGCTCTCCTCCTGTGAAGCTGAGCTCTCCCCCTTGCTGCTGCCCTGCTCCTGGCTCCGTCTCAGCCCCCTCCTACGATATTTTTAGTGCTGAAGGGGGCAGGTGAGAGGAGAGGGGCACAGGCAGGGGGGAGAAGTGAGGCCCTGGCCTGGGTTTGGCAGCAGGGCGGGATTAACCCCTTGCTCCAGGGCTGGGTCTCTGCAGGCTCTGCAAGGAAACCTGAGCTGCGCAACGCCAGGGCCCCCGGCCAGGGGAAGGCTGAGGCTGCCAAGCGCTGCTGCACGTGGGCGCTGGGGGAACGCACGGAGTGCTTTCGCTGCGTGTGGTCCCGCGCTCCGTAGCGGCGCAAAGCACTCGGTGCCGAGGCTGAGTGAGCCTGCACTCCTTTCCCATTCCTTCCGCGGGGGTGGGGGGGCACAGCTGTTACTGCAGTAAAACCTGCAAGCAGCCGAGTGAAAGTGCTGCCAGCACATCTGTGCAGAACTGTGCTGCCTTGTCCCCGAGTCCGGAGAGCCCGTGTGACTCACGGGGTGCTGAGGCAGAGCTGCCTTGAGCGCAGGCAGTGGGGCTGTAGGGGTGTGCGAGCGTTTCCCCTCCGCCGAGCGCAGGCTGGTGAGCGCTGTGCCGTGCAGAGACGGGAGGTGGTGCCACTGCTACGAGGCTGGGCCGTGCAGCCTGCTGCCGTGCTCCGGGGAGCAGTGGGAACCACTGCAGAGGGGAAAGGCTTTCCTATTTCCATCTCAGCAGAGTGGTGAATTTTCCTCTATAAATAGTTGCTCGGGAGACCGTGGAGCTCCAGCAGGGTGACAGACCTGCTGCCAGGGCAGCTGAGGCGGGGGACTGCACAGACAGGTGCAGTGAACGGCAGTAAAGGAAACTCATCGCAGCTGTCCTGGGTCTCCTGCTGCCCTGCAGCCAAGGTTGTTCCCAGAAACGGTGCTGAGATCTGATACCCTGCGCCCCGACACATCTACCCAGTGATGCAGAAAAGTTTGGCTGGCCCAAGGACAACCCTCCCAAGCAGTGCAGACTAAAAGGAGAGCAACACCAGCTGGTATCTCACTTTTGGGAGCTCCAGCATGAGCCAGATGATGAGAGGGGTGCCATCCCCTGCCTCCTGAGCTGCATGGTAAGTGTGCAGGGCCACAGGGGCTGAGCCCCACGTGCCTGCTTTTATGCTGTGTGTTGTGACTTGCAGGGATGCTACACTCAGCCAGGACTTACCACGTCTGTGCTGGATGAAGATGAAGGCACATATCGCTCTGCTAAATACTCCAACTCGGGTTCAGGAGCTGGGGTGCATGGCGAGTGGTGGGCTGGCTCCTTGCACCCTTCTGTGCAGGCGAGGTGAAGCATCGCTGCTCCCTGCTTAGTTAACTGGTACCAATACATTTTTGGGCTGAAGTTCTCTGACCTGGTCCAGGCCTGCAGCAAGTCAGTGGGTTCTGCGTGATGTAGCTTTTAATGAAAAAAAAAAAAAAAAAAAAAGTTTTTAATATATCAACTGACAAATAACTATAAGCATTGTTGGGTTTTTGTTGTGCTTTTTGTTTGTTATCATAAAGCTTCGAAAAGTGTGTTTCCGTCTTCTGTACCAAAGTGCAAAGCAATGCTCTTTACCCTGTACTGGATTATCCACGTCAGTGCAGTGGGCAGGAGGTGAATTCTCACACACCTCAGGAAGGACAGCAGGGTACTGTGAGCTCAAAAACTCCATCAGCCCAAGTGCTAGGGTGTGCCTGATGCTCACGGAGTCTGACTTTGGATCCTAAGCAGTAGGTCACTGTTCTTTCCCACCAAAGACTCTTATTATCACAGAAATCCATCTAGGGAAGATGCTGAACCCTCATGTCCCATTTTTCCTTTGGTAGTGACTTAAGAAACAAAATCTTCAGGGCTTCTGCCCAGCTCTTAGAGATCAACTCCTTGTTCAAATTATGTGACAAAACCTTAGAAGACGTGACTGAAGAGGTATCTATCAGGTGGTGCAGGAGCTTGCAAGGTTATTGATGGGCTATGTCTGTGCATAAATAAGGACAATCCTGATTTCACCTCCATATCATAGCTAGGACTCCAGTAAATATTCGCTGCAGGGAGTGGCCATATGGACATGTAGCACCCTGCAGGTTCAAGCCTAAAAGAGACTGAGGTTTAAGCCCAAAAGAGTGTGTAATTGCTGAGATTTGAGGTGCAAAGGAGAGAGATTCTGAGCTCCTTGCACGCTGCTCCATGGGGTAGGGAGAACAAAGAAATGTAAGCTCTGGCAGTTCTGCGTATCCCTGACTACACAGCCTATTCTGAGCCTAAATTAGAATTGAGAGTTCACCTGGTGCCCAAAGACAGGCTGCAGCTGTGTTGCTGTGCTGGGATAGGAAAAGATTTTTGAGGAAGCTGTGCTTTTTCAGCACCTGTAAGATGTCACTGTCCCTGAGCAGCTCCCAGTCACGTGGCTGCTGCTGAGGCGTGTGACAGGACATGCACCAACTCTGCCAGCACGTTACGACTATTTCTGAAAGTTCTGCACTGTGTACCAGCTCTCAGCTTTGGCAACCTGACTCTGAAGGATTTAAAGGTTGATATTTCTACTCGTGCTAATGGCCTGCTTGGGTTATTATCACCTGTCACAAACTCTGGCAACAGTTGCTCATATGAAGCTTTGGCCATTACAGCAGGTGACATTTCTGAATTATGAAATGCTGGGTTGGAGCACCCAAACTGAGGCAGCGTAAATCTGTATTTCCATTAGCAGTGTGGGGACTGGGGGCTCTATTTCAGGTGACTCGCGCTTGAGCCAACTCCACAACAGTGCTGTGGAGTAGGGGGAACAGCAGTTGTATCCGTCTGTCTGCAGTGCCTCTGTGTTTGTACCTTTTGCTGTCATAGAAACATGCTGGGGAGCAGCCTTTCCCCTCCCTTGTGGCCTCTCTGTAGGGGATCATGGGACTCTTGGTGACAAATCCCTGCTTTGGCCCCATGCTGCAGACAGATGTGCAGCGTAGCTTCTAAACTGCACACTCCGCTTAGCACCAGCCTGAGATGTGAATCTTCTGCTGCCAGTGAAAGCCCTAAGTTAGGGTACAGTGTGCCTTCTGCCCAGCCCAGTGTCACAGCCACTGGAGGGGACCCTGCAGTCTTCACCGAGCCATTGGAAGCCTGCCCAAGGCACAGGGAAACCTGAGACTTCCACCTGAGAGCCAGGAGCCCTGCCCAGCCTGCCAGCTTTCCTCCTGTGAACTTCTAAAATAATCCTTACTTCTCTGAAGTGCCAAAAACGTTCCTATGTTCCTAACAGCTCAGTTCCAGGTTTGGACGAAGGGGGTGGAAAGGAACAGGGTGAGGCAGAACAGAGCTAGAAGAACAAATGGGAGCTGTGCACATCAGTGTGTGCAGCTGTTGTGCAGCTGTCTCTCTTTATGGAGTAAAATGCTGGAGATTGCACTGCACATAGTGCACAGCCTGGTTCTCCACTGCTTCTGTCCTCTCACCAGGACCTGCTGGGACACTGCCATGGAAGAGCAGGTGCAGGAGGATGTGCCAGAAGTGCAGCACCCAGGTCAGTCCTCAGACCAGAGCTGAGATCATACCAGGCTCTTCCCATGGCAGAGGAGGTCATGGGGACCCATCTGGCCGTTCCTCTGGGAGAGCTGTCCTCAGCGGGTTCCTGCAGGGTAGCAGTAATGCTTCTTGGTGATGGTCCCCACAGGAGGCCACCACCCAGTGCGCGAAGGAGAGGTGTTCAATGCACGATACCAGGCTGTGCGCGAGCTGGGCTGCGGGGCCTTTGCTACTGTCTGGCTGTGCCAGGACATGAGGTGAGGGGCTGATGCCAAATGGGGCAGCAGGGAAGGACGGCCAATCTCCTGGGCAGGACTTGCCCCCTTTGGAGGCCAACCAGCATGCATCGACTTCTAGCTGTGGTTCCTTTTGTAGGATGAAGAAGAACGTAGCTGTGAAGGTCCTGAAGAGCAGGGAAGGCTTTGCCGAGGCTGCCCAGGATGAGCTCTCTCTCCTCAAATGTGTACGTATCTTCCCAGGCTCTGTGCTTTTCTCTGTGGAGGTGGCCACTGAATTCAGGCTGAGGTATCAGTTTCATTGTCCCTTGTCCTTCCAGGTCTGTCTGAGGAGCAAGGTTGGGGAATGGAAAACGATGTCAGATAATTCATTAAGTCACCTTTGCTTGGCCATGACCCCTAAAAGAGGCACTTCCTCCTTCCTCCTGTAATGCTAGGACAGGTGGCTGTGTCTCACTTGTCCTGTTGGCCCATTTTTTTTCAGCTGAGACTGAGTAAGTGAATCAGAGGAACTTGCAGAAACACAGGGTGGGAAACCACCAGAACCAACAAGAAAATGTGGCAATGTTGTTCTTAACCACAGTTGGGAATGTTTTCACTATATTTGTGTACTTCCTAGCTCGGAGATCATTGCTCTATCACAACTAAATACTGAAGCAAAAGGAAGCATCTTAAAAAAAAATGCAGGACAAAGCAAATGTGATATATAACCTCTCAACTCAGAAAGCTTCCTTCTGCTTTTGCTAATGGATGCAGTAATTAGGCACACGGATCTGAGTCTCAACTAGTTGCCTTTGAAAATGGCTTGACCTGCTAGTTCTAGAAAGC